TGAGAGAGAGAGAGAGAGAGAGAGAGAGTCAGGTCCCCTACTGGAAGGAGCACACCCTGTCAGACCCAAAAAGGGGAAGTTTCCTCATTCGGATGGGGTGGGGCAGGGGAGGCTGCTGGTGTCCAAGAGGGGACAATTTTGGGAAGGGAGGGAGTTGCTCCCTGGCTGGCGGGGGTGCTGAGGGACAGGGAGGAGCAGAAGATTCAGAGTTGGGTAACACTGGTGTGGCTGAACGGGGAGTATGTCCTACTGTGGCCAGGGTGGAGATGCCCCTGAGCTAGGCTGGGTGGCTGGTGGGGTCAGGAAAGCCTTGCTCAGTACCGGTGAGTCACAGGCCTGGGCTGGGCCAGGACTAGGTTCTGAGAGAAGAAGATCCCATGCTGGGGTCAGTGGCCAAGGTCCCTTTTCAGGCACCACCCAGTGTGTCTCCCAGTTTCTCCCTGTTTCCCATTCCCAGCCCCTTCTGCCTCAGATAAACTAGAAGCCTTAGTGTGGGGAACCCTGGAGCCTCTTTGGGGTGCTCCAGGCCTTCACCTGTGCCTCAACCTCCCTTTCTGCACTCTGCTGAGAATCAAGTTGGTTCAAAGCTGGAAGGAGGTGGAGGGTAGTAGATCCAGGAGAAGGGGGCGGATGGCTGTGGCTCTGGGCTGTGGCTGTAGAGGATTTGGAGTCAGGGCACTCTCCTACCTCCCTCTCCCCAGTTCTCTAACCAGAGTTCCTAACTCCCCAGCCTTAGCAGGTCCTGGGCAGCCAACAAGACCCAAAGCCGTGCAAACAGCTCAGGAGACTCCTCACCCACTCATGAGATCTGTGGGGAGGTCACCAAATCCCTTGGTGGAGTCCCAGAGCCCTGGGGGGCGGGGCGGCAGGGCTGGTGAAATTCCAGGCTTTGGGAACCTGATAGGAAATTTGATTCCAGCTTCTGGTAATGGGAGGAAGAGCAAGTCCTGTGTGTGTGTGTGTGTGTGTGTGTGTGTGTGTGTGTGTGCGTGTGTGTGCGCGTGCGTGTGTGCTTCAAGTCAAGTACAAGAAGTCTGTGTGAGCATCTGTTCACGCGTCTGTGTCCACAAATCTGTGTCAGGCTGTATCTGAGGGTGTCCCACAGAATTGTGCGTGTTGGTGCCCCAGGTCAGGGGTCTTCGTGGATGAATCTGTGTGAGGCTCTGTGTGTGCCCGAGGATGGCTGTGTTGATGGGTGGGAGTGGTTCTGGGTGAGTGTGTGTGTGGGTGTAATGTGTATGTGCGTGGGCTCTCTCCTGGACTCTGAATTGGGTCTGTGTGTCTCTGTCTCTGGGGCACAGTAAGTGTGATTGTGGTTTTCGATGTCGTCTGCCTGCCTGGTGTGTGTGTAAAGGGAGAAGGCCCCCCTTATTACTTGGTGCGGCTGGCATGGGCCCTGGGTCCGGGCTACCTCTGCCCCTGGCAGGGGTCCAGTGGGCGACCCCCCTGCTCCCCCTACCTTCCCACACCCGAAGGGGCTCGTGCTGGGGGCCCGGCGCCTCTCGGGCAGCGGGTCCGCAGTCCCGGACGCTCCCGCCCCCCAGGCCCAGCAGCCGCTCCCCTCCGTCCCCTCCCTCTCTCCCTCTCTCCTTCCCTCCGTCCCTCCTTCCCTCCTTCCCTCCTTCTCTCACGAGCGCGGATTGCGGGCTGGGGTGGGAGGAGATTTCGCGGAGTTTCCATTTCATACCTCGCGGCTAAAACTTTCTTTCTGTGTCTCGCCCTCTTGCAGTCTGCAGCTTCTCCTGTCATCGGAAATGCCAGGCCAAGGTAAGGGGCCACGGGCGGGCGGGCCTGGGAGGACTTGGGACAGGCCTGGCTCGGGGTCCGGGACTGGAGCAGGGGGCGCCGGCGGGACGGGGGCGGTGCCCGGGGCGTCCCTCCTCCTCGCTTTGTTTATGCAAAGCGCCTGGGCCTGGGAGCGGGCGCAGGTCAAGGTGAAGGCGAAGGCCCGGGGCCGGGGGCGGGGCGGGCTGGGGAGTCGGGGGATACGGGTGGGGGGCGCAGCGCGCGATCTGGGCGGTCACTGGGGGTGGCTGGTGGGGACCGAGCTCCGAGGGAGCGGCCTTTGAAGGTGTTTCTGCTAGTTCTCAAGGGGTAGAGGCGAAGGGGGAGGGGATCCATTTCAATTACCCCGGACCGCCCAGAGCCCCGCTTGGCCCAATTCGGCCAACCTAGAAAACCTGTGACCGCAGCCACGGGACCCTGAGGGCGAGAGAAGTGGGTGGTGGAGTAAGTGGAGAATGAGATCGGAGGTCAGAATCGGCTGGTCTGGAACCCTCTGAGACTGTGTCTCCCTCTTGATTGGCCAGGTCTCCTTTTGGTCCTCAGTTTCCCCATGAGTATTTCGAGGCTGGGCCTGGTGGGAGAGGGAAACTGAGTCAAGAAGACCGGAGGGATTGCTGGGCCCTAGTTGGCCAGGCTGGCTCAGCCCTGATGTATCCTCTGAGGTTTGAACCCAGAAGTCATATATCAGCTTCTTGGAATAAGGGGGTGGGGGATTGACACCAAGACCGATTATGAGTTTGGGAAGGAAATGGTTCTGTCCAATGGCCTCAGTTCTGCCTGGGGGTGAAAATGGCATTCCTTTCCTCTCACTTGCAGCCAATGTCTGCACCTTCTCCCATTGTTGCTTGTACCGCTCCCTGCCTGTTCACCCCCTACGTTTGCTCTTCACACTTGACTTTTCAAGATATTCAGGTAGTAGAAGGAGAAGATGCTTCCAAAAGGAGCATTCATTCAGCAGTTGAGGATCTGTATCTGGTGCATCCCACATTTTGCTTCTTATTAGCTGGTGACCTTGGGCAAGTTTTGTACCTGTCTGAGCCTCTGCTTCATCCACAAGGATATGGGAATAAGCCTCCCTCATTAAGTTGTTATGAGGATTCAATGAGCTAATGTGTGTGAGGTGCCCAGCCCAGCGCCTGGCACAGGGTACATGCTCAAAAGTGTCATGATTGATGCTCAGTTACTGGGAGCTTGGAGTTCCAAGTGTTACCTTGGGGAAGGGGTGCTGATGGGTCAGGCAGATCTGGGAGGACTCTTCCTCCAAAGAGACTTGACTTAAGCCAAGCATACACCTTGCTGGAGGGCATCTCCATCTGTAGACTCCAGCTCGGAATGCTCCCTTTGCAGAGGTGCCGAGGACCTGGCTTGCAGCAGGTACGTCCATGTAGAGTTTTCTGCCTTTGCTTGTCCTCTGCTTTCCTGGGGCCACCCTCGGCCTTTTCTTTCCTGGATGGGGAAAGTAAGTTTCTGCTTCTCCTTCCACCTGTCTCCTTGTTCTGTTTATCCAGAGCAGAGTTTTTTTTTTTTTTCTTTAAATACAGAACTTTCCAGTTTTCTTGCTTCTCCCCAGTCTACCCCTTCCTACTGTCCTTCCTGCAACCTTCTCTCTTAATAGCAGTGAACATTTGTACAGTGCATTGAGTCTTACACAGTATTTCACATGCATTATCAGACTTTGTTCTTTTCATTCCTTTAGAGCATAAAACATTGGCCAAAAGTTCCTGTTGTTTTACAGTTGAGGAAACGGAGGTGCCCCAGGCTGAGTGACCTCAGGGTGTCCCAGTGGAATTCTTCACCTGCTCTCTGTCCCTGGGCCCTTGTCCTTCCTTGTCTTCGTCCCTCACTGCCTACTGCCATACATTTCCCCATCCTTGCCTGCCCTTCCTCCTCTTGATTTCCACCTCTTGACAGCAGCAGGATACATTTCGGGATGATAAGGGGATGAACTTTCAGGCAGTGAAGGGTCTGAATGGGGAGATGGGTAGCTCAGAGAGGCCCAGAAAGATGTACAGATGGCTTGTCATGCAGCAGCCTTGCGCGTGGGAACAGGCAGATGCCAAAGATGATGTTTTGGGGGTATAGCCTACCTGAGGAGTCTTACATACGCTGGGGGCTCAGAATGTACAAGGCTGCAGCAGTCCTGCTCTGCCCTGCCCAAGGAGGCCAGCTAAGTGGGGGAGAGGGTAGATTCGCAGGGCAGCAACCAGACAGACAGATGGGCTTTGTATAGGAGTTTCCTCTACAGGGAATGGGACCCACTGGTGGTGACACTCCACCCAGCTGGGGGGTCTCTCCCTAAAACCACAGCTCTTACTGCTGCCCTGCCTTTTCCTCCCGCTGGGAAGGGCAGCAGGAGCTAGAGCCACAGAGCCACAGCAGAGCTCTGTACTGTAGATTTTATAGCCTCGTCAACTTGGAGGTCATCTCATCCAGCCCCTGCTTCTAGGCAGGATTCATTAATGAATGTTTAGTAAGCTCCTTCCCATGGGCCAGACACCCTTCTAAGTGAACAGATAGAAAAGGCCTTGGCCCTCATGGGTCTTACATTCTAATAGGAGAGACAGGCACTAAATAGGCAAGCAAATTTTGAAGGGAATGAGCTGCAGCAATGGGTTAGAGAAGAATTCTGCTAGGGTAGCCCAGGAAGACTGCTTGGAGGAAGAGTCATGTGAGGTGGGACCCAGATGATGATGCTGGGAAGGAGAAAGAGCAGGTGCGAAGGCCCTGAGGTGAGAGGAGCTTGTTACTCTTGAAAGAGGGCTAGAGAGTAGTGAGCGCTGGTACGTTTGGGCCTGAGGGACATGATTGGATTTCCACTCTAAGGCCACTCTGGCCTTGAGCAGGCACCAGGGCAGGAGTAGGGACATGGGCCAAGAGGCTGCTGATGTTGCCCACGTAAGAGAAGCTGGCGGCTTAGTCCACGGCGCTCGTCAGAAAGGCAGTAAGGAGGGGCTGGGCCTGGGATGCCTTCTGAGGGAGAGCCGGAGCCTCACTGAGTGATGGGATGTTGGGCGTGAGAGCGGGAGCCGGCTTAAAGATGACTCCCAGGTTTTGGCCAGAGTAATTGGGTACACGTGGTTTCACTTACGGAGATAGATGAGGTGTGTGAGAAATTTCTAGGAGATAGCTCCAGGGTTTCAGCTTTGCTTGGTCTCCGTTTCACAGTCCCATGCACTGGGGGTTTCTTGCTGATGTTGATCTCTCCAATTCTGCCTGCTCTGGCCACTCCTCCGGTAAGTGGCTGGTTCCTGATGCCTTCATGCGCCACCCTTAGACTGTTTCTGCAGCACGAAGCTGTGGCTCTGACAGGGGCTGTGTTATGTATATGGGGCGATATGGTGTAACAAATGGCCCCCAGGCTTAGTAGCTTAAAACAGCATTGAACACTGATTATCTAGTAATAATAAATGTTTTGGGCGGTCAGGGTGTTGGGAGTGGGTTAGCTGCCTGTTTCTGGCCAGGGGTCTTTCACGGGGTTGCAGTTGTTGGCTGGGGCTGCAGTCTTCTCAAGGCCTGACTGGGGCTGGAGGATCATTTTCCAAGGTGGTTCTGTCATGTGGCTATCAAGTTGGGGTTGGCTGTTGGCAGGTAGCTTCAGTTTCTTGCCACACGAACCTCTCCGTAGGGCTGCTTAAGTGTTCTTACAACATGATGGCTAGTTTCCCCAGAGTGAATGAATGATTCAAGAGAGAGCAAGGCAGAGCCACAATGTCTTTTATATACTATCCTTGGAAGACACACTGTTATTTCTGCAGTATCCTATTGATTACATAGGTCAGCCCTATTCACTGTGGGAAGAACCTACATAAAGGCTTGGATACCATGAGGCAAGAATCAGTGGGGGCCATGTTGGACGGTGACACTACAGATGCCCAGAGACAGGGCAATGCTGACCTGGCAGCTAGGAGGCCGTGGGAGTGCTGGGAAGGGCAGGGGGGGGCCGGAATCAGACACTCTTGGGTTTGAACTCTACCCCTGCTGCCTTCCAGATACGTGAGCTGGGTTGCAGAGGATTAAATCTACATTGGCATATAGTAGGCACCTTTCTCCTTTCTTATAATGATAGTCACAGCCTGGAAAGGATCCCAGATATTCTGTGCCCTGCTCTCTGCCACTTGGACCTGCTTGAGAGAAAATGCTCCTGCTGGTAGAGGTGAAGCCTCAGTGCTGGCTCACAGTCAATGTTATCTATGTGTTGATTGCCCATTAGAAGGCTGAGAGCTAGGTTCCACCCCAGCTTCTAGAATAGTACCTAGTCCTTAGCGGGAGTTCCAATAAAGGGATTAAAGGATGGAATAAAGGAATATTGAGAAAGAAGTCCTTCCTATCTGGGGAGAGGCTGAGGGGATGGATAAAAGCAGGAGAGAAGTAGCAGCAAAATTACTTTAAAACCCCTCCCAAAAGCCCTTCCTACTTCCTGACACACAGGTTCCTCCAAATAATAATTCTAGTCACATTCCTTTTTCTAATTGGGGTATAATTCACACTGTCATGTATATAAAACTCAAATATACATCCTGATAGATTTGTATGTACATGAGAACCAGATCATGATCTAGAACATTCCCAGCACCCAAAAAGCAACCCTTATGTTCCCCTTCAATATCCCCCAAAAGTAATTGCTATCTTTACCTGTATTATCAGAGATTAGTTTTGCCTGCTCTTGGATATCATAGAAATAGAATCACATAGTGTGTTTGCTTTTGTGTCTGACATTTCACTCAGCATCATGTCTGGGAGGCTCACCATGTTCTTGTGGGTTGCAGGGGCCCATTCTTTTTAATTGCTATGTTGTATTCCATTATGTGAAGAAACCACAATGTATTTATCCATTCCACCGTTGATTGCCATTTGGGTTCTTTCCAGTTTGGGACTGTTAGGTGCAGACCTGCCCTCTGTCTACATAGAACTTTGTAATCTACAATCTATTTTCCCTCGTCTTTGCAGTTCTGTGAGGTGGGCGGGGCTCACGGTGGCCCCAT